TCTATTTGGGAGTCCTCAATTATATCTGACACTTTACATCCAGTGTTTAAAGGCAGATCTGACTAAAATCAATTGAGAGTCCTTGTCTTGTCTCAGTGATCGCTTCAGCAAAAATCATTGATAAAATCTTGTGTAGACTGACCTTGGACTCAACATGCAGGCAGTGTGTTGAAGGGCAGTGCAAAGGAGGCAGTGGTGGTGAGGTACCATATTACCTAGTGAAATCATTGGTGCTGAAATCACTAAGGACTGGAATTTGACCACAGAACTGACACTTTCTTAACAAAGGCTCCATTTTTGCTATTTAAAAAGTAAATCAATGTAACAGAAAACTGCAGCGCTCTCTGGTAACTTTTTAAAAATCAAACTTTAAACTTTATTGAAAAAATTGGATAGTTTGCAATTGAAAATATTTGACCTACACTTAAGGCAACTGATTTAATTTTGTGTAAAATTTTGCATAATAAAGGATGGCATTTTTTTGCTCAACAAAAAATCCTGGGGGGGTGGGTCCCACCAAAACGGTTTGAATTGGGCCCCGCACTTCCTAAAGCCGGCCCTGATGCTAGTGTTTCCATGGCTTGGGTTAATATGATGGACAACAGGGCGGTGCCCTGATAGCACCCGTCCTCTCTGGTTCTTAACTGTTGTGCAGTTAGTCCGGGTAGGTGCTAGAACGACTCCTGCAGTTCCAGGAGATGGTGCTGTTCCTTTGCTTTAGCTTTTCTATGAAACAAAATATGACAAACAAATGGTCTCGGGGTGGGACTCGGAATAAAGAAGTGTCCTTTATATCTACCCTCATTACGTTACTGGTACCAACTATCACATGACCCCGCGATGGTATTCTAACTAAATCAAGGCTTTGTGTTCCTATCTCCAATCCCTTGGCTCTAGGGAGAAACACAAACACTTGAAGTTGATGCATGTCCAATAAAAGTAGGGGATTTTGGAATAATAGATTTTGCTCTCTTGCAACCTCCAGCTCAAAGGAGTTTCATGTGAGTTCTTTTTACCCTCCTCCCCAGTCATGTGCAATATGACTCAGGCACTTGTAGAAACCTCAGATAGTTGCCCTCATACTTTTCAAACATGAAATCTAAATGACCGCATGGAAAACCAGCATCTGTGAAAGGGAAAGCACCGATATAAAAAATAAACGCTTTCTTGCCTGCAGTCCCCCCCCCTCTCTCATTTGCTCAGGAGTATGGAATGAGAACACACAGAAGAGCCAGAACCCTGATTTCTAATCTGATTGCCTGCTGGCTTAATCTAGTGCTTTGGGCAAAACAAAGTCGCTTAACCTGTCTTCTACACATCTGCCAAAATGCGATAACTTATCTCCTCCCGCATAATTATGAGGCTTAGTCACATAAAGTTTTTAAGATGGGGAGTGTTACACAGTTGGGTTAGGAACTTTCTCCTTTGCACCTTTCCTTAATCACCCCTACCTCAGGCTGAAGAGAGGAGCTTTTAGCTTATTCCAAGGGTGGGGTCTGACTCTGAGGAGTTTTACTTTCCCCGAGCCCTGCCGTGGAGTTGGAGCTTGACACAAAGCTGCTTTTTACCCTCAAAACACTCAGGCTGTGTCTAGACTGGAAAGTTTTTCCACAAACGCAGCTGCTTTTGCGGAAAAACTTGCCAGCTGTCTACACTGGCCGCTTGAATTTCCGCAAGAACACTGACGATGTAAGAAATCAGTGCTTCTTGTGGAAATACTATGCTGCTCCCGTTCAGGAAAAAGTCCTTTTGCGCGAAGCTTTTGCACAAAACGGCCAGTGTAGACAGCTCAAGATTTGTTTTGTGCAAAAAAACCCCAATCATGAAAATGGCAATCGGGGCTTTTTTGCGCAAAAGCGCGTCTAGATTGGCCACGGATGCTTTTCTGCAAAAAGTGCTTTTGCGGAAAAGCATCCGTGCCAATCTAGACGCTCTTTTCCGAAAATGCTTTTAACGGAAAACTTTTCCGTTAAAAGCATTTGCGGAAAATCAAGCCAGTCTAGACGAAGCCTCAGCGTTTTTCTGTGCAGTGGCACTCTGCAAACAGCAGCATCGACGGGGGAACCTGAGGTTTGGTCTTCACATGGGGCTGCTCAAAGCGCGTGTGTGGACACACTCCAGCTACCCTGCGACAGCACTGTGCCTGTGGATGTGGGGGGGCAAATAGCCCAGAAGGAAACCCTTCCCGAGTGTGTCCTAAAGCAGCTTCCGAGCCCGAGGCCGGTAAACGGGCGGGTCACAGAGGAGCTGCACAGCTTTGCTGTACTAGCTGCAGTATCTTGTCCCGTTCCTCGGAGCGGCACGTTGCAGCCCTTCACTGGCTCCTCTGCTCGTCTCCATCGACGGCTGATCGCACAGTCTTGCGGCTCCGACCCCTCTCACTCGCGCCCCGGCTAGGTCTGCCCTGCCCGTTTGCTTTTACTGCGCTTCACCCCCACTTTCTGGCTTCCTGCCTCCCTCAGGCTGTTTGCCAGGCTCCTTGTTCTTACCCCCCAACCCCCCTGCTTTGGTCTCATTCCCCGGCGCTTTCTTCTCCTCCCAGCCCCGCGGTCCCGGCAGAGGCTTGGTGGCGAAGGGCCCGCCCCGTGCCTCTGCGATGTCAGGTGACTCAGTTTCCCCGGCCAGCAGGCCCGGCCCCTCCCCCCCCCCGCCCCGCCAGCCTTCGCAGCCCCGCAGGACACGCGCTCCCTAAGGGCGCGGCGCCTTTAAATCATCTGGAGGCGGAACTTAAAGATACAAAGTTGCAAAATAGTGTATCTTAAAGTCACAGGACACGCGCTCCCTAAGGGCGCGGCGCCTTTAAATCATCTGGAGGCGGAACTTAAAGATACAAAGTTGCAAAATAGTGTATCTTAAAGTCAACCAATTAAAAAAAGAAACCTGCGCTGCGCAGCCACTAGCCAATCAGAGAACGGTCGCTGGGTAGATTAGGATTGATACGCGTCACCGTGCGTCCATCCAGCCAATCACTTTAGGCGAGGTCAGCCAATGAGCAAGGCGTTCTGGAAGAGGCGGAGCTTGGGGTGTTTTGGACGCCTGATTGACAAGCGAGGAGACCTAATCAGAAGGGAAAG